TTCAAGAAAAATTGTGCAGATGTATTAGATTTGGAAAAACTTTCAAAAACTACAGCTTAGAAAATAACAGAGTTTATACTAGGAGATATTTTTGCAGATGTTTAAGTCTATGCAAATATCAGAGGATTTATGGTAGAAATGTATAAGGCACTGACACTTCAGACTTTACACTAAAGCAGTGTTCTGTGTCTACAAAATAATCTAAAAGTAAAGTTGGCCGAAAAATTATTTGTATGCAACTTTATTAGAGTAGAAAATTTTCTAGAGCTTTATAATTACAAGTAAACTTTGTTTTGTAAAGATTACAGATATTTTTTAAAGTAAATAATGTCGTAACTAACTCTCTACTTCATACTAGCAATGTTGTAATTAACTCTCAAATTACTTCATGCTAAAACAATTACTATTTTTTTGTTTGTTTTTTGCAACTCTGTCACCCAGGCTGTGGTGCAGTGGTGTGACCTGGCCTCACTGCCACCTCCAACTCCCGGGTTTAAGCTCCCGGGTTCTACTGCCTCAGCCTCTCAAGTAGCTGGGAGTACAGGCACATAACCCCACGCACAGCTATGTTTTATAGTTTTAGTAGGGATGGAGTGTTGACATGTTGGCCAGCTGTTCTCAAATTCGTGACCTCAAGTGATCTACCAAGCTCAGCCTTCCAATGTGCTGGGATTACAGGTATTAGTCACTGTGTCAGGCCCATTCTGTTTCTTTATTCCTATTATGTTTATACATAAAAGCATGTGACCAATTGTTATATGAAAGATATGAGAAATTGTTTTTATTACGTGAGCATTTATGATGTCTTTTATGAAAGAGTAAGGATATTAAAATGTAAGATGCATAAAGATAATCCATGTAAAAAAAGTTCTTTGTGGTTAACTTACAATATTGAGTGGTGTATGAAGTTAAGTGTTCAGAGTCGTATTCTTGTGCATTGCGTTGAGACAAATATTTTTGGTTTTAGTTAAAATTAAATTGGCCGGGTACAGTGGCTCACATTGGTAATTGCAGCGCTTTGGAAGGCTGATGTGGGGGAATCACTAGGTCTGGAGTTTGAGACCAGCCGGGCCAATATGGTGAAACTCCGTCTCTACTAAAAACACAAAAATTAGCCAGGTGTGGTGGTACATACCTGTAGTCCCAGATACTCAGGAGGCTGAGGAAGAAGAATTGCTGGAACCAAGGAGGTGGAGGTTGCAGTGAGCCAAGATTGTGCCACGGCACTCCAGACTGGGTGACAGAGTGAGACTCTAGCTCAAATAAATAAATAAATAAATAAAAAAATAAAATTAATTTGTATTATATTATTTTACTAATTGTACTTTTATGAAATAAAATGTAGCACAGTTTTAAAATTTCAGATTATGTGTGAACTTAATTTCTTCAACATTTTTCACATGTCAAATATTGTACATTAAATTAAGTCTTGTTATTCCAATTTCTTTAACCTAGTCCCCATTACTCAAGTGTGTCGGTATAAGATGGTAACATGATGGGCTAACATCTCTGATCTTTTTTGCCAATGGCTTAAACTTTAAATAAGTTAAGGAATGTTGTTCCCATAGGTAAAAGTTTTTTCTTTTTTTCTTTTTTTAAATTTAAATTTATTTCTGTTAATTTTTGTGGGTATGTAATATTTACGTTATATATACATATTCTGTTAAAGGTATACAATATATAATCACATTAGGTGAAGTTGGGTATTCATCAGCTCTAGAATTTATATTTTGAATTACAATCAATTCAATTCTACAGTTTTTGTTATTTTAAAATGTATAATTAAAATGCTATTGACTGCAGAATCATTTTTGTAATACTAAAAATTTTATACAGTTATAAATAAAATTTACACATATCTGAGTCCTGAATAAATACCGTTCAAAATTTATTATACATTTTTATTTGAATACATGGCCTGTATGCTTGCAAACACACCAACTTTTAGTTTTGATGTGCATAGAGTTAAACGTGATCTATTAGTCTAAATATAAACTTTCGGTGTAAACAAATTATGAATTAATTGTGTTTGAGGATGAGTTTGTAAGTATTTTCAGAATAAAATATCAATATTGGAAGAAGGGTATTTTAATAACATGTCTAATTTTCTGTTTCTTTCTTTTTTTTTTTCTTTGAGACAGAGTCTTGCTCTGTTGCCCAGGCTGAAGTGCAGTGGCATGATATTAGCTGGCTAAAACCTCTACCTCCTGTATTTGAGCAATTCTCCTTTCTCAGGCTCTCCAGCTGCTGAGAGTACAGGTGTGTAGGCCACCACACCTAGCTAATTTCTGTATTTTTTGTACAGATGGTGTTTCACCATATGATGAAGCTAGTCTTGAACTCCTGACCTCAAGTGAATCCACCCACCTTGGCCTCTCAAAGTGCTGGGATTACAAGTGTGTGTCACCAAACCCAGCCAGATGTCTGATTTTTTAGAAAACAAAAATACTCAAAAATGCTGAATGCAAATCTTTGCTTTCTTTTTTTCTTTTCTTTTCTTTTTTTAAATAATTCAGTCCCCGTAGAGACTGCCAAAAATTGCCAGTGCTGGCTATATTTCACGTCATCCTTGTGGGGTACTGGGAAAAGTTTTAAATTCCATTAATCGCGCCTCGGATAAACCTCATTGACTATGATACTGCCACTGCACAAAGCTGCAAATCTGTACTTTCTAGTTTGCATTGAATTTATTACTGTAATATATTATGGCTTATGGTTCAGAATCTTTTCATACAAATTATATGTTTTTACTTGCCCAATACTTCTGTTAGACCCATGACTTTCTTGTTTATTATATAAATTTTGTTTTATAGTTTACAAAGTACTAAGTTTGTGAGTTGCTCCATGATTATAAAAATGATTTTAGTGAAATGTAGTCACAGGCCAGACACAGTGGCTCACACCTGTAATCCCAGCACTTTGGAAGGCCGAGGTGGACATATCAACTAAGGTCAGAATTTTGATATCAACCTGGCAAAAATGGTGAAACCCTATCTCTACTGAAAATACAAAAGTTAGTGAGGGGTGGTGGTTTGCACACCTATAATTACCGCTATTGGGGCGGGTGAGGCAGGAGAATAGCTTTAACTTGGGAGATGGAGTTTGCAGTGAGCCAAGATTGCACCACTGCACTCCAGGCTGGGTGACAGAGGAAGATTCTTTCTCAAAAAAGAAAGAAAAAGAAATTTAGTTATGCACACAAAATAATTTTAGCTGTAAATCCAAAATTAGTGTATTAAATTTTATTTAGTTGGAACATTCAACTTGTTCTTTTATTTGAAGAACACTATATAAGCCTACTTTTCCTGTTACTGTTTTTTTCACTTTTTATAATGGACATGAGTAAATGTATTTATTGATTGGGTCAATTTGTTTAGGTAAGTACTAAGGAAGCTTCATAAGCCATGAGAATGTTTTTACAATAAATGTAGCAGTGCTTGCTGTGTAACTCATGCTCCATAATAAGGCATGAATTTGTCTAAGTTAGTTTGTAACTTCACGTTAGAGGTAGAAAATATCAAAGGTAGACAAATAAGATTGATTCTTCATGCGTAGAGGACTTGTTTCCAGGCTGCAAAGCTGAATTTTGCTGAATTTAAAAAGAAATTCAGCTGTATTTAGTTCCTAATTATCTTAAGTTTTGTTTGTCATTTTATGTGTATTCCAGCCGTGTATACATACATCATAGCCCTTCTTTTTCTGTGTTAATGGCTACAGGTTTTCCACTGTTTTCTTCATGCTGTGTCATTTCACATGGCATTTTGAGAGTTTTGATGAGAACTTTGGTGTTTTCTAATGCCCTGAGGAACTGGATTCAACTGGAGAGTGTGCTTATAAATATAACTTTCATATCATTTAAGATAAGAGCATACACTGTCCATAGGTGAGAGGGGTAAATGAGTTAGCATGGTGCTTCATTGCTTGTAGAAAGAAAGGCTTACTAGATTGTCACTCAAAGTGAGACACATACAAAATTTGCTAGAAAATATGTCATAGAAATTAAAGTTTTAAGAGAGTTTAAGGTAAGTGAACCATAATAAATTATTATTTATTTCTTCATTGTTTTGTTAAATGAAGTTTTGCTCTGTCACCCAGGCTGGAGTGCAGTGGCACAATCTGGGATCTGTGCAACCTACATCTCCCAGGTTCCAGCAATTCTTCCACATCAGCCTCCTGAGTAGCTGGAATTATAGGCACCCTCCATCATGCCTGGCTACTTTTTACATTTTTTTTTCTAGAGATGGAATTTCACCCTGTTGGCCAGGCTGGTCTTGAACTCCTGACCTCAGGTTATCCACCTGCCTCGACCTTCCAAAGTGCTGGGATTACAGGTGTGAGCCACCTCACCCAGGTTAAATTTAGTTTCTTATGATACAGCATAACTGGCATTTCCAGGTAGAATCTTCTGTTTTTACATGTGAATGTTAAAGGTTGCAAAACAATAAAATGACTTCTATATATTTGGAATAGTACTTCTTTTTCTTTTTTCTTTTTTTTTTTTTT